CTTTCTTTCTTTCTTTCTTTCTTTCTTTCTTTCTTTCTTTCTTTCTTCTTTCTTTCTCTTCCTTCCTTTCTTCCTTTTCTTTTCTTTCTTTCTTTCTTTCTTTCTTTCTTTCTTCTTTCTTTCTTCTTTCTTCTTTCTTTCTTCTGCCTTGGAAAACAGCTTGACCCCCTCCTCCTCTCTGTGGCAGCTCCTCAAATACTGGAAGATGCTCTCCTGTCTCCCCTGGTCCTTGTCTTCCCTAGACTAGCCAAGCCCAGTTCCTGCAACTGTTCATCATATCTTTTAGCCTCCAGTCCCCTAATCTGAGGCAGGCTGCTTAGAAATGGAGCATCCCAGCTAGCCCCACTTTCCACCCCCAGCCCAAGATTTAGAGGAGCCTGGCCACATGGAGCCAGCCAGTTTTGGACCCTGCTTCCTGACAGCTGCTACCCAGATGCTCCATCCAGGAAATGAAGAGGAGCACCATCAACTTCCTTTGTGGCTGCATCTCAAGGCTATGCAAAATATTAAAACAAGCCAGCTGGGTTCCTACAACATGCTAAGCTGAAATGGGGCCTGCCTCTTGCAGTCTGCAAACCATGGGAGATGGGTTTTAATGTTGTGGGAAAGCCTGCTATTGGGATTTATTCAATAAACCATGGTTGAACCATGGTGTGAAGCCACTCAAACCTTACAAGAACCATCTAGCTGTTGAGACTCACTAGCTGTGTTCCCAAGGCTTGCGGAGCCATAGGTCCTGGAAAGTGTTCAGGGAAGAGCAACAATGATATTAAAGGGTCTGGAGGCTAAATCATAGGGCAAAGGGTTGAGGGGGATGTAGGTAGGTATGTTCGCCCCGTGATGGCAAACCTATGGCACAGGTGCCACAGGTGGCACGTAAAGCCATTTGTGTGGGCACGGGAGCCCCAGCCAAACTTACCTGCACTGTGCATGTGCGCAACTCCCAGCTGATTTTCGGCCTGTTTGAGGCCGTTTTTGCCCTCCCGGAGGCTCAAAGGAAGCCTCGGGAGACCGAAAAACGGGCCTTCTGGAAATATCGGAAGTGTCAAAACGGGCCCATTTTTCGGCCTCCCAAGGCTGCAGAGGCTTCCCTCAAGCCCCCAGGAGGGCGAAAATGTCCTCAAACGGGCCGAAAATCAGCTGGGAGGCTTGCGCATGCACAGTGCAGGTAAGGGGGTGGGGGTGTTGCGCATGCATGCCCAGGGGGGTGGGGTGCTCACGCTTTCAGCACACCAGAACAAAAAGGTTCGCCATCACTGGTCTAGCTGACGGAAGAGAAGGATCAGAAAATCCTTCTGTCTTCCAGTACAGTACTTGAGGGATTATCTCCGAGAAGAGGGGATTGAAGAAGATGGGACAAGAAGTAATGGGTGGAAGCTTGATAAAGAGAGGTGCAACCAATTTGTCAGATCAATATAATAGAAGGAATGTATGTTTGAATTTGCATGTACTGACTGTAGTTGTCATGCCCCTGTCGGAATCTGATTCGGAGGGGGAAGCCGAACAGCTGACAGGGAGTGGGAGTGTGGCTCCATTGGCTGTGGAAGAAACTGGGGAAGGGCCAAGTCTGGCTGGGCAGAACAGGGAAGAGGTAGAATAAGGGAGAGGGAATTCAGAGGAAGACCCAGGCCCACCTTCTCTTCATCCTAGGGCACGCAGGGAGGAACGGAGAAGGGAGCAAAGTGGGTTGCCTGGCTTATGGGGGAGGAAAGGGCCCTGATTCCCTTCATTAGCTGCAGCTGGGAACACAGTGTTTAAAATGAGAGTTTGTGCACAGCAATTGTTGGAAAAAATCATGTATTATCTTGTTTTGTCAAAGCTTATCTGGGTTCCTGGTATCTTCCCAACTGTGTGAGTTTTGCTGTGCTTTCAAGTCTGCAATTCCTTCTCCTGCCCTGTCAAGTTAATTACTGCAGCTTGGTTTGTTTGGATTTTTAGTTACAGTCTGTATGTACCTTGTTTTGGACTGAATTTTCTCCAGTTAAAGGCTGTTCCTGGGAGAGTTTTTCTCCAGCCGAAGGTAACCTGGACATTGGGGGAAAACTTGGAGATAATAAAGGGGCTCTTCTTGCTTATTTGACTGTGTTGCCTTTGTGCCACATCCCGGGTCTTCCTTTGTTTCCTTCCTTCTTCTTTCCTTCCTTCCCTCTCTCCCTCTTTTCCTTCCTTCCTTCCTTCCTTTCTTCCTTCCTCACTCATTCCTTCCCTCCTTTCCTTCCTTCCCCTTCCTCCCTGATCCCTTCCTTCCTTTGCACCCCTCCTTCCCTCCCTCTTTCCTTCCTTTCCTTCCTTCCTTCCTTCCTTCCTTCCTTCCTTCCTTCCTTCCTTCCTTCCTTCCTTCCTTCCTTCCTTCCTTCCTTCCTCCCCCTTCCAAGCCATATCCATTCTTAGTGTCATTCCGAAAAGGATCCAGCCAGGATTCTAGTGGGCCAAGAGCTCTGTCTGCCCCCTTGCCCTCCATTACTGTCTTTGCCTCCTGGCTCCGGCCTGGAGCAAAATACTCTGTAAAATAAAAACAAGATGCAGAATCATGCTAATAGTTCAGAGACATGGGCTCCAAACAACAGAAGGGAAGAGAGACAAATCCAATGTTGTTGGGGGGGGGTGTTCTTCTTCTTTCAAGGAAAAGTTTTCAGGTTCACTGGAAAAGTCCTGGGCTTTGTGTGAAAAGATCTCAAGATCCGAGCCAATTCTTGCAAGGCTGGGAACTTGATATAGTTGCACTATCTATAAACAAGTGCAATTTTAGATAGCATCACTAGGAGAGGGGGGGGGAACCCCACAATTCCATTTTATCTGAATTATCCAACTCCGCTTTGAGTCCTGTGTCCAGATCTGGAATCGGATTTAAGAAAGATTCCAGGGAAATGGAAGAGGTGGGGCAGGACAGGCGGCAGGTCTGGGGTTGTGTGAAGGGGGCTTGGGGGAACTGGAAGAGGCAGCCTGGCAAAGACGAGACTTGGGAGCCTTTCCAAGGCTTCTCCTGTCTTGGCCAAGAGTGCAAGACACAAACTTTTCTTACCCTCCAGTACTGGCCTCAATTGTGCTTATAAGTCGAGGACTGTCGGAATTCTCAAGCTTCTGCTCTGACCTAGGCTTCCCGAGATCATGAAACCCCTTTTATTTAGGTTATAAAGGGAATTCCTCTCCAGCAAAGTCCCGGCAAACAGCCTTTCATGAGATTTCACAATTACAGACTTTTATCAGGCTTGGAGAGTTGCCAGGCCAATATCTTCCTAACGCCACACTGTAGCAGCAATTACTTGGCAAGAATGCAGGAACAGATCTTCACCCTAACAAATTGAACTAATTGTCTCCTTACAAACCCCACTCCCCTTTCGCTCCTCTTTATTCCCTATGGGAGGGGCCATTCAGCGTCCACCTGAGGCTTTACTCCCAAGTAGAACCTTTTTCCTTAACTGTTCCCTTCTCCTGGCAGCTCTGCGCATGCACACACTGGGAACAGGCTCCAGCTGTTCTTCTGCCTCATTGATCTCTGACTCCGCTGATAATTGTCAGATGACCCTGGCCCCATCTCTGCCTCCAATGAAGAGCCCTCATCAGGGCCTTCCTCAGGCTCCAGGACTGGCCCATGTTCCTCCCCAACCTCCTCACTGTCCGAGTCTGCTGCCAGCTCCCCTGGCCATTGATGGGCCACAACAGCTTCCTGAACATTTGCTGAGATGTTGCGAGGCTGGTTTTGGCAGCTCACTATTTTACATGATATCTCACATACACACACACACACACACACACACACACACACACACACATGATTTCCAACCAGCCCCTGGTAGACTGCTGCAGGATTCACATATGTCATCTGTTGACACCTCCCCGATGATGATTAATGAGCAACAAGCAGGAGAGAACATCAGGGATAACCCTGGGCTGCAGCCCCTGATTGAACAGAGTTCAGCTATGAAGCACCAAAGGCAATTATACCGGTTCCTGCAGCCTTTGCCTTTTCCTGCCTTCCCACTCAGGGGGGGGGGGCCAGAGCTGCAAAGCCCCCGCTGAGGCTGCCCCCTCTAAGAATCACACGAGGCCGGGGATTGCGGCAGAACAAACCCTCGGGCAGGGAAGGGGAGAGGCCCACAGGAAAGCCTCCTTCAGCCTCTCTCAGCATGATTTATTTAGCGGTGACTCACCCAGAACCAAAGGTCTGAAGGCATCAGAAACACAGCTTCCCCTCCGAGGTTTGCTGCGCACAGAGGCCCTTCTGTTGGGCTTGCCTGGCACATCGCTGCCAGAGCGGCTCAAAGCCTGGGCAAAAGATCTGACTTCAAACCCCTTTAAAGCAGTTGTATCTTTTCCCGGGCTTCGTTGGCCACTTGAAATGTTCCCAGCAGAAGTTACCGTGTTTCTCCAAAAATAAGTCCTTGCTTTATTATTCTTTTGCCACCAAAAAAAGGCACCAGGTCTTATTTTCAGGGGATGTCATCCACTGACTAACCTCACTTGCGCACATCACCCCCCGGCTTCCTTTTTGCTGCCAGAGGCCTTCAGGAACTTCCTCTGCGGCCCGCAAGGCTTTCCTGAAGGCCTCTGCAGCCGATAACAGCTCCAGATCGATCCAGAGCTTTCTTAACAGCTCCAGAGGCCTTCAGAAAAGCCTTGCCGGCTGCAGAAGAAATGGGCTGGCAAGGCAGGTGTCAGAGTGTGCGAGGCCTGGCTACACCTGTCCAAAGGTAAGTAGTAGGGCAGCTCCACCTCCCCATCCCCACCTCTGTAGTGGGCGGGATCTTAATTAGGGCTTATATTGGGCACACATATAAAAATCAAGCTAGGACTTACTTTCATATTTCATAGGTCATATTTTTGTGGAAACAGGATACCCAAAGATATTTCCAAAAGACACTTTGCCCCTGAGAGTCTGATCTTTGCATAATGCTCCATAGGGAATGTAGCCTTTTGTCCAGTCTCTTCTTCACAACCTCCAGAGTTGGACGACCCACAACTTCTGGAGGTGAACCATTCCACTGGTGAATTGTTCTCAGTGTCAGGAAATTTCTCCTCAGTTCTAGGTTGGATCTTCCCTTGCCAACAAAGACAACTATTTGTCTAGTGACTGTGACAAAATATGGAATATCTGGTATGATTGGTTGAAGAAAAGGTAACATCTGATAATTGGACAAGTTATTGAAAATGAGGAGATGTGCAACTAATTACAGAGCTTATAGAGAATTAAAAACATTAAAAGGATGAAGTTATTGTAACAAGGTAGAATACATCAATGATCGAAAAATACAAATGTAACCATTGCTCAATATGTGCTGTAGAATGTATATATGTATGTATGTATCTGTGTGTGTATATATATGTGTGTGTGTGTGTGTGTGTTTGTGTTTATTTGTTTGTTTTTAATTGCATAAATGTTAAATAATTTTTTTTATTTAAATTAAATTAAATTAAATTAAATTAATTAAATTAAATTACTAAGACAACCATATGTCTATGGAGATTCTCAGTCCTCCAGGTCATTGTTGTCCCAAAGGTGCTTTTTTGTTCAGGAGGCAACTGGATTTTCCGGATTTTCTTTGAAGACATTTTGCTTCTCATCGAAGAAACTTCTGTAGCTCTGACTGGATGATGAAGAATGGAAGGATTGATATTCCTTGCAGACAGCTGGTCATTTGCATGCTTTTGGAGGGTTGTTGAGGCCACTTGGAGGTTTATCAGTGTCCTCAGGATCACCTGAGTGGTGCAAATGGTTCCTGTAGTCTGCAATTTTTCCTCTGGAAATCCATTCCTCCTCCCACATCATTCGAAGGGGGTTCATCCCAAATTGTATGGCTAAAAGTCTGTAGAGATTCCCTATAATCCAGGTTGTCCCAAAGGTGCTTTTTCAGGAGGCAGCTGGACTTTCTTGTTTTTTATTTGAGGATGTTTCACTTCTCATCCAAGAAGCTTCTTCAACTCTGACTGAAGGGTGAGGAATAGAAGGATTTATACTCCTTACAGACAGCTGGTCATTTGCATCCTTTCCATCATTAAAGTCACCTGGAGGTTTATCTGTGTCCTCACCGGGTGACCTGAGTGGTGCAAAGCCTTCTTGGAACTGTTGAAAGGACTGTATTGGAGATTGGAGATAGATGATGTCCTATCTCTCCCGCTGTCAGGATTCTGGCACTTAACCCCAATTAAATCATGAGTCTCGAGCCAAACTTCCAAAACTTAAAAATGATTTATTGGGAGTTAGCATGTCTGGCCCTGCCTGGGTGCAGCCAACTCTGAGACACATAATTCACTGTCATCCTTGACCCTGGTTTCCCACACCCCCTGGGTGTATCGTAATTCATATTCTCCAATGGGACACATCCATAGCCCAGAGTCATCAATCATGCTCTCCAGTTAGAATTTTGCACGGCAGAAACTTCAGTCACCTAGTTACTATCTTTGAAAACATTTATGGAATGCACTTGTAATTTCCAAGCTGTCACACTGCTCTTTCAAACCCCTTTCCCCCCTCCTTTTTTTGTTGGCAACTCTAAAAAGACCATACAAATATTTTGAGTTGACTTCCCTCTGTTGAGAGAAGGCTGTTCAGTTTTGATGCCTCTTTGACCCTTCCTTCAAACCAGCAGTCCTCTCTGTCCAATGTCTTCAAAGAAAACCAGAAGGTCCAGTTGCCTCTTGAAAAAGCAGCTTTGAGATAAGACAACTATCATGTCATCCCAGCTCTATACCAATTGGTTGATTGGTTGATTGATTAATTGGACCTCCCTTCTCCTCCCTCTTTGCGCCTTGCAGTGGCTCATCATGACTTGGAGAACACCCTGAACTGCAGCTTCATTGAACCTCCTTCTGTGGTCGATCAGCCATCACCCTCTTGGTCATCCAGGGGCTCCTTCTCTTCCTTCGACACCACGGATGAAGGACCCGTCTACTGCGTGCCCCACGAAGGTCAGTGATACTCCTGGCACAGGCCAGACTCCGATCACGCAAGCCGTTCCTTCAGAGAGCTCAGATCTGGCCACCGAAAGGGAGAGTCAGTGGCTACCAAGAGCCGAGATTAGTCCAAAAAGGGTATCGTTTCCTTGGCTAGTTATTAGGAAAAGTTGGGATAACAAAAAAGTCTGTTAGGGTGTACACACACACATACACACACATACACACACACGTTGCTGGGAACAAAATGCCAAGGTTGGGCCACTGCTGTCTAATAATGCCCCAAATGCAGTCAAAATACTCCTCCTCCTCTTCTTCTTCTTCTTCTTCTTCTTCTTCTTCTTCTTCTTCTTCTTCTTC